CTACTTGTGGATGGGATATTGTCCTTCTCAGCATCTGCTTCACGGGTACTATTACCCTGTGCTTGAGTATCCAATGTCGGGTGAAATCTTTTTAAGTGATCTCGTAAGTTTGATGTATTCCCGCTAGTTTTGTACTATTTTCCACACGAAAGACATTTTGCAAATTTCTTATCTTCAGAGCTTTTGAAATATTTCCATACGCGTGAAATTTTGGAATTTCTTTTGCGTTCTGGTAGCTCTGTTGCAACATCTTCACTGTCAGTGCTGCTGCACTCGCATATTTCTTTGTCCGTAATGGCTCTATTGGCAGTTGGGGATGTTCGGCGTTTTCCTTTAATTAAATGTATACTTTTATTATTATGTATTTGTCGGAGGGCCGTTTGCCAGGCGCTTTCTGAACTGACTTCCCAAGAGTCTTTTTTCCAAATTTCTAATTTCTACTCAATTCTTATACATTGTTAGTCCTCTCTTTCTAACATGTATGTCAGCGCTTAACGAAGTCTAAATCTGTCCTGCTCTGCCATGCTTTCACTCAATTTCTAACTTCCTTTTTTAATAGTCCCTGCTTCACATTAAAGAAGGCCCCGCTTCACCTGCTCTGACCAAGAGAATAAAGTAAGCCCCGTTTCTTTTGATCCGACATATTTATCTTTGTGAAAAAGAAACGCATGTATGTATATATGCGTATGTATTTCACAACAAACCGTAATAGCAGTAATGGCATCTCACGTAGCACTTTTGTTATTGTCACACAAAATTTAGCTTTTAACTTTATAATACAAAATTACAATATAAAAACAAAATAACAATATCTTACCTATTTGAAGAAAGCGACTTTTAACGTAGAGATGGGAAAACCAAAATATCGACCACCTCCAATTCTCTTCAGAAGTCTCCTCACTAGTTCTGTAATTTATTTCACCTTATTAATATGAATTTTCAGTGTTATTCTAGCTTGGCTTTATTGAGGTATTTGCAAGCATAATTAATTGTTCTAGCAGAATTAATTTTTTGAGCCAAAATTGTTTGTTTACCAAAGCAGTATTTGTGCATGGGAAATAATAACTTTTTAGTTCATTTAATTAAGCTTTGGAGTTCACCAATTAAATTCTGCTTCATTCCGATCCCTGCATCATATTCTATCGCCAATCTGGATTAAAATGTTAAATACTAGTAAACCCGGCGAACTCCGTGTCGCCACCAGATGGCGGCAGTTTTATGTAAAATTTCGTTTGGTGATTAAAAGATAAAGAAATATTTTTATTTGTTTTATATTTGCAAAGGAAAAATTTTATTTCATTTCACAACAGTAATGAATTCATTTCGATTACAAAAATCAAGTGTTATTATTTAGTTGAACTTCTCTAAGTAAATTAAAGTGAATCCAAAGTAAATACTGAATCGAAGCGTTATACATGTCCGCAAATTATCCGTTTCATTGAAGTGTTTTTTGGTAAACCATGTTTTTTATACCCTTGCAGAGCAAAAGGTATTATAATTTCAGTCAGAAGTTTGCAACGCAGTGAAGGAGACACCTCAGACCCCATAAAGTATATATATTCTTGATCAGCATCACCATCTGAATCGAAAAATGTATGTACGTCTGTCCGTCTGTCCTCCTGTCGGTTTCTATGTAAACTAGTCTCTCAGTTTTAAAGCTATCTGTAGGTGTGTAGTTTTTGCACGCAGTATATAAGTCGGAACGAGCCGGATCGTGCCACTATATCGGATAGCTCCCATACAAGAGAATGAAATAAAAAATTTTTACACCATTGTTTTTGATCAGATCGACTTGATTCCTTCCAGATGGCGTTTTCTAACTGCTTTTGAATTTCGGATTAAATTTTATTAAAATCGGATAACTATATCTTATAGCTGCCATAGGAGAGATCAAAATATATATATATAAATAATGGAAAAAAAAATTATAATGTCGTTGTTTTTAATGCCACGAGCATGATTTTTGGAACATAAAGTTTTTTAAATACTCTTAAGTTGAGAAAAAAATTTCATAAAAATCGGAGTACTATATATAGCTGCCATAGGAAAGATCGAACAATCTATATAGAAATACCGGAAATATAATTATAACCTCGTTGTTTTTCATCAGACAAAAATGATTTTTGGAATATAGAGTTTTCTAATGAGTCTTGAGTTACAAATTAAATTTCATTAAAATCGGACGACTATATCATATAGCTCTCATTTGAACAATATAGAAAATTAATAGAAAAATCGTCGTAGCTTCGATGTTGTTTAGCCTTTGTGTATTCTGTTCGAAATATTTGATGACTGCAAGGGTATATAAGCTTCGGCTTGCCGAAGCTAGCTTCCTTTCTTGTTTTAGTCTGACGTTACCACAAACAAAGCGGTTCCCATCTCGTTAATACGCATAACTGCCCTAGTGAAAAACAATGATTTTCTAAATTGGCCTTGCGACTTGTTAATTCTCATTGCGAACGCATGGCGAATTGGAAATTGCAATCGTTTGAAGTTAAACGGAAGATCAGTCGGAATCATTGGTATTCGATGAATACAAACATTTTCATCTGCGTACTTTCTGCTGATAATGCTTGCCTCAATAAAATTCGGCATAAGTCTTTTTACGGAAAGTCCTGTCCTGTTAACTATTGGAAATTAGCTGTAACAATTAGACCAAAAATTGAGTTAAAATGCTATGCTGGCTGGCGTGTTTGTCAGTGTGATGAGGTAGTAACTCACTTTATATGCGATTTTTGGTATTTCGAATCTATTCTTGACCTCTGTTTTAAGCTCCACGATTCTGCATTGACAACTGAGCCGTATTACGGATTGCCTCACTTTGCTCTCCTGATTGAGAAGCACGCAGTCGACCCATACTAACGCGGCGCTGTTCACGTGCAATGTTTTGTTTTTCTACAGTCCTTTTATTTGCAGTATTTCGTAGTCTTCTTGAATTACGGCTTTGTCGGGAAAGATTCGATCGTCTTGGTCGCGGCATTATTAATTAAACTTCACTTCACTTCAATTCACCAAAATCACAAAAAACTTCACTTCAGTTCAATTCACCAAAATCACAAAAAACTTCACTTCAGTTCAATTCACCAAAATCACTAAAAACTTCACTTCAAATCACCAAAACCACAAAAATTGAGTTAAAATGCTATGGTAGCGTGTGATTGTCAGTGTGATGGGGTAGTAACTCACTTTATATGCGATTTTTGGTATGTCGAACAGGATTTAAGAGGATGAAAAATAGATGTTGGTAGATTCTCAGACCTATGCAATACGCTCACAAAATTTCATGAGAATCTGTATAGCCGTTTCGGAGGAGTATGGTAACAAAAACTGTGACACGAGAATTTTATATATTAGAAGATATAGATAACTAGCGGACCCGTCTCTTTGTCTCGCCCAAATTTCACGATTTCATACAACCCCAGAGTAATAATAGAACACTGGTAATTAAAATTTTTTGTGAAATTTTTTTTGACTCGAAATCATTGGAGAGCGATGTGGTAACAGAGCGCCCGCTCGGTGGTGAATCTGAATGTTAGGATGCAATTTTGAAAAAATGGGAGTTGTTCATTTTGATAAAAGAGAGACACCATTACCTTATAACTTGGATTGTAGCCTGGTTGATGAACAACCTCGGCTCCAAATGACGTCATTTAAAAGCATCCGTTATATTTTTGTGCAAGCTTTAGGAAACTGTTTGATTGGGCTGAATTTCCATATAGTAGCAAATATTGTACAATGCCTCTGGTGGATGAGCCAAAACGGGCTATTTAATTTCGCCACCTGCACAGCATAAGCCGGGGGTTTCCAATCGAAACTTCAGTGCATTGCAATGCTGACATACGACAGACAATGATAATTTAAACAGTTCAACTTACCACCTGTAAGACAAATACCTGCTGTTGAAATTAAATAAAAATTCTTTTTTTTCACAATTTCACAGTGAACACAATACCGGCTTGTCACATGAAATTAACTGAGCAGAAAACAATAAGGAAATGATAAATTAAATCAAAAATTGAGTGAAAATGCTATGGTAGCGTGAGTTTGTCAGTGTGATAAAGTAATAACACACTTTATATGCGATTTTTGTATGTGTGCATAAAATTTTATAATCTTTAAACCTTTCTTGGGAGGTGCTCTATTACACACAACAAACCGCTTTAAAATCGGTTTGTGCGTTCTGGAATTATAGCGTCAAGAAAGACAACCCGACTTATTTTTATACCCATGCAGAGCAAAGGGTATTATAATTTCAGTCAGAAGTTTGCAACTCAGTGAAGGAGACACCTCAGACCCCATAAAGTATATATATTCTTGATCAGCATCACGATCAGAATTCAAATACGTCTGTACGTCTGTCCGTCTGTCTGTTTCTCTTCAAACTAGTCTCTCAGTTTTAAAGCTATCTTGCCGAAACTTTCCCAAAAGGTGTGTAGTTATTGCACGCAGTATATAAGTCGGAACGAGCCGGATCGGCCGACTATATCGGATAGCTCCAATACAAGAGAATGAAATAAAAAATTCTCAGGCGGCTGTTTTTGATCAGATCGACTTGATTTCTTCCAGATGGCGGTTCATAACTATTATTGAATTTCGATTTAAATTTTATCAAAATCGGATAAGTCTATCATATAGCTGCCATAAAAAAGATATCTATATATAAATAATGGGAAAAAATTATAATATCGTTGTTTTTAATCCCATTAGCATGATTTTCGAAGTATGGATTTTTTTTAATAACCCTTGAATCGAGAAAAAAATTCATTAAAATCCGACAACGTTATCATATAGCTGCCATAGGAAAGATCGTAAAATCTGTATAGAAATATATGGAAATAAAATTATGACATCGTTGTTTTTCATCAGCAAGCATGATTTTTGGAATATAAAGTTTTCTAATGTCTCTTGAGTTTTAAATTAAATTTCATCAAAATCGGACGACTATATCGTATAGCCGTCATTTGAACAATAAATATAATAAATATAATAAATATAAATACCTTGTATAAACTGGTATTAATCCTCTTCCGTTTTCTGTTCTTAGAAACATTGACAGCATATACCAATTTTTTTCGTCATAGTTAACCAGGTACGGCCCGATTTCTTCTTGATTGACAATTATGAACTCATCTTGGCTGGGCAGGTTTGATATTTTCGCTTGCTTCGTCTTATTCATCCATATATACGGGATAGAGTTTGAAAAGTTAAGAGTGTCTTGCCGGACTAACGTAATAGGGATCCACCAAAGCATTTTATCTTGGTCAGGTACATCATGAGGCCTTTCCCTTAGATACACTTTTTGCTGTACGATTGCAGTCCCTGAATTATAGTCTCTTTTAATAGTAACAAGTGGAAGGCGGCTTTGTTTTAACCAAGATTCAGCAACATCTAATAAAATTAGTTTTCTATCTAGCGCTTTATCTTCAACAGCTTGTTTTGAAAGTGCAGTCCACAAGTCCGAGCCTTTGAATGTTTTAGTTTTGTTATTAGAAATGAATCTTTGAATTCCAGTTCTAAAGGTCTTTTCTCCTAAGACTATTTTAAGCATTCGAATAAAAAGTTCAGTCTTAAAGGATGTTGACTCCTTTTTCATTCCAGTTATAAGGGAATAGGGATACCTTTTGCTTAGTTCATAATATAATGAGTAAAGAATTGTCATGGGATATTTGCCATTAAACTCCTTTCCGCCATTTATCTGCAAATAGGGTTTGAAAATAAGTTTATTATTTCTTTGATTTTGGGCATTTCCAGAAAAAGGGAGAATACAGTTTTTTATTTGTATTTATAGTTTATGTTTACACTTAACTAGAAAGTTATATAATTTTTGTCATTAAGCCTACAAAGCAGAAGTACCGTATTTCATCTCAGCTTTAATATAAGTATTTTTATTGTATGGATTTTATTTTTGGTCAAGAATAATGAAAATACAGAATACGAGGTGTGTTCAAAAAGTATCTCGAATTTTGTGTTTTTTCAAAAATTATTTATTAATTCATGAATATCTATTTTGTCCCCTTCAAATTAATTTCCATGAGACATTATGCAGTTGTGCCAACGAATTTTCCAATCTTCGAAGCACTTCCAAAAATCATTTTTTTGTATCTTGTTCAGCTCCTCCTTCGATGCCGTCTTTATCTCGTCAAGCGTAGCGTAACGTCGCCTTTCATGGGCCTCTTCAGTTTAGGAAACAAGAAAAAGTCACAGGGGGCCAGATTTGGGGAATACGGCGGCTGCGGCATCAATGGGGTGTTGTTTTTGGCCAAAAAGTCGCGCACAAGCAACGATGTGTGAGCAGGGGCGTTATCGGGGTGCAAAAGCCAATTTTTGTTCTTCCACAAGTCCGGGCATAACTTGCAGGTAATATTCCTTATTGACCGTTATTTCCTGTGGCAAGAACTCATGATGCACCACGCCCCTGCGATCGAAGGAAACTGTCAGCAAAACTTTCACACTCGACCGAACTTGGCGCGCTTTTTTCGGTCTTGGTTCGTGCGGCAGCTGCCATTGAGATGATTGAGCTTTGGTTTACACGTCATAACCATAAACCCACGATTCGTTACCAGTTATGACCCTCTGAAGTAAATTTGGGTCGTCGCGGACAGAGTTTAGCATCTCATTAGCAATGTTCATGCGTTGCTGTTTCTGGTCGCAATTGAGCAATTTTGGTACGAATTTTGCGGCGACCCATCTCATGCCCAAATCATTGAAAAAAATCGAATGGCACGAGCCAATCGATATGTTTAGGTCCTCAGCAACTTCTCTAACGGTGATTCGACGATTGGCCAATACCTTTAATTTTTTCGTCTGTTGTTGAAGTGCTCGGGCGTCCGGCACGCTCTTCGTCGTTCACATCTTCTCGGCCTTCTTAGAACATTTTGTACCACCGATAAACGTTGCTTCGGTCCAAGGTAGCTTCTCCGTATGCCACAGTCAACATTCGGAATGCATCCACACACTTAATTTCCTTTTCAACACAAAATTTGATACAGGTTCTTTGATCCATTTGTTTGAAAAGGTAAAAATCGAAGACGATCCGAAGCACGTGCAAGCAAAGCAGCTGTCAACAATTAAGTGAACATTCAAAATGGCCGAGCTTGTCGGCATAAGTGTGAGACATGAGTACCAGCATAACGCCACAAAAAAATCGAAATTCGATACGAGGTAACCCGCGAAAATTCAAAATTCGCGATACTTTTTGAACGCACCTCGTAAATGATACTTACTCAATATTTCTATAATCCTTAAAAAAATAAAGTTTTAAATTTAAGGCTAATTACTACAATTGACTCTTTAGGCGGAGACCCATAATAAAAATGCCCTTTATTAAATTTTCCGATAACTTATCTTGGTACCATCGTTCAATTTATCGATTTGGTGACAAGACCGCCTCTAAACGGGTATGTTAAAAATACCGTTATTTTGTGCTTTTCATTCCTTTTGACTCGGTTTTGCGTTTTTTCTAATTTGGGGAAGACCAAAAATTAAGTTTGTTGCGTTCGTAATACATATCAGAGCTTGCGCAAGCTGCTGTATTCATTTGAAGCTGAAAATTTGTGCAACTCGCACGAAGTAATTATTTTGTAAGAAGTCCAAAATGTAAATATTTTTTTTAAATATTATAAACAGTTTGCTGCTGGAAAAAAATTGTACCGTGTTGCAAAAAAAGGAAACCCACACTAAATATGTATAAGTTTTCCTTAGCTTTTTATTGCTTTTATAAAGTATCGCGTCTAGAGGCGGTCTTGGGACAATTTCGAAAAAAAAATGTATAAGGTAAGTTTGAAAGGGAAACAACCTATGACATATTTAAGTACAAATAATTGCTTCAGTAGACATGATACGACAACAAGTGAATAAGCTATCAGCTCTTTTCGAAGTGGAGATTGAAAAATTATTAAATTCTATTGATTTTGACATTGATACAGATGGAGAAGAAGAATTGGAGGACGATTTGACTAATGATGTTTGCCAATGAGGAAGATGAAGAAGCGATTGAAAAAGTGTAACATATGTCGGAATCTATCTTGGCTAGAGAGATTTGTGTAACTTTAAGCGGAAGTCCTTCTCCTATTGCAAAATTGTTGTCACCCTCAAGTTCAATTGCGTCCAATTTACCAAGCACAGAAACGAAAACTTAAAGCGCCTGCTGAGCATAATATTGCTCATGAAAGCACAATAGCTGAATGTGGATCTGTTTGGACTATCGACCCAAAAGCACCGCTTTTCAAAAAGATGTTGTGGCGCCAAACGAACCTAGTCATGGATAAATCTGCAATGTCCTTTAAAGAGACTGACCTCGGAGAACTTAAAAATCGGGATACGCCATTCAAGTGTTTTCAATTTTTTTTAATGATTAAATTATTTTATTCCTTTTGGAACAATACAAAATACATACAATGACAAAAAATCGCTTTGAAAAAATACGACGAAATTTGATTTTAATGATAACAAGTTGCCCTCCAAAGATTCTACCGGCCACGATCCTTTATACAAAATACGGCCGCTCGCGAATCATTTCAATGACAAGTCTCAATTAGTTCCGATGCGCCAACGTTTATCTGTGGATGAACAAATGTGTGCAACGAAGATAAAGACCTTGTGAAATTCTTAAATTTGTGTGACTCTTCTGGCTTTTGCTATAATTTCGATATATAATGTGGAGCAGGTGACAATGTTGTTTAAACTGGCTCACCAGATCTTGGTGTGGCAGCAAATGTAGTTGTTCGATTGTCACGCAATGTTCCAGATTTCAAAAATCAGATTATCTACTTTGACAATTGTTATATGTACTTCATTGCCGCTTCTTGTATATCTCAAGTCCCAGGGAATATTTTCTTTGGGAACTATTCGCTCGAATCGCATTCCAAATTGTAAGCTGCCAACTGACAGCGACCTCAAAGAACAAGTGTTTGGAAATTCTACTTACGGAACAGTTAGTATTCACTATCATATAACAGTTCTTTTTAAGCCCACATGCACAGCATAAGGGTAACACAACATCGTCTTATTCTGTTCCTTTCGCACTTATAAGAAAACATCCTCTCACTCGCACTCATTGTAGTGCCCAATAGGGGAGTGACGCCGACGAGACTACCTTGTCCTTATTATACCATGGCTCTATGCGTGATCTTTCTCTCTCGATCTTTCTCACTTGCTTGCTCCCTATTCTCACTCCATCGCTAGTTGCTTCGTGCTACGTTCGCCCTGTCGTACTCTCTCTCAATCGGACTCGATCGCTCTTTCTCTTTCTTTTTCGTCACTTCCGTTGCATACTTGTGTGACGTTACCGTTACAATTGTAAAAATTTTACCCTCATGCGCCTAAAGAAGTTTCACTTCAAAAAAACAAATATAGCCCTTTAAAACTGTTTGGTCATGCCGCAATCCTAAATCAAAGCACTAAATTTCAAATCTTAACGCAAATTGATTGCTTGATGTTTGCTTTGTTTTCCTGTTTGCCCTGCGTGGCAACTCCTGTATGAATTGTAATTGCTAACTACTTTTGCACTCTTTTGCTTATTGCTGCCTGGCCCTTTGTCCACGGCAAGCAGCTTCATAGTTCGAATTTGTGCAGATCGCCTACCTATTCTTTCGTTTATATACTTCGCTTGTTCAAAGGCACAATCCTGCTCAACATACTTTCGGTAGTTAAAAGGCACAGACAAATTGGTCTGCCTGCCGAATATTTTAAAGAATAACAAACATTAACTTTGTACATTAAGGCCTTGGTGCCATTAAAATAAATAAGTGCATAAATATGCACTTGTGCGGGTTTATTTTACTTGAGCACCACCAAAGGTAAGTGTTAGTGAAAAAGCTCAATGACCCAACAAAAACCTTCGAATGATTCCAAGTTTCCATCCCAGGAAATGAGGTGGACAGGAAAAGGTTGCTCCAAGCGAGCAAACTGCCATATATACTAAGGCTGCCATGCGGAGAGGCGCGAATTTGGATGCGGCTTTGAAGTAAGCCGGAGACTGCGCCACCACGTCTTCAATTTCACCCCAGTGAGTGAACGATTGGCTACAATCCGCGTTAAAGCTAGGTTTTTCAATCTTAGCATATTTTGTGCGCACGTCCCGACGGAGGAGAAGGATGATGCTGTTAAGGATGCATTCTACGCGAGACTCGAGGACACCTACGACCGCTGGCCAGACCACGACGTGAAGATTATGCTCGGGGACTTCAACGCAAAGGTCGGGCGCGAACGCATCTTTGACCCCACCGTCGGTCGATTCAGCCTCCATGATACCACCTCGAACAACGGTCTCAGGCTGATTGACTTCGCCGCGGCGCGAATCATGGTAGTGAGTAGCACCAGATTTCGGCACCTCGACATCCACAAGGCCACATGGCTGTCCCCTGATCAAAAGACGCGTAACCAGATTGATCACGTTGTGATAGACGGAAGGCAGGCCCCAAGCGTGATGGAAGTGCGTACGTTTCGTGGAGTCAACATTGACTCGGATCACTATCTTGTCGCAGCCAAGATACGCATGCGGCTATGCCGAGCGAAAAACCAACGCCCCATCACGCAACGAAAGCTTGACGTCACTAGACTGCGATCACAACGGACAGCAATGGCCTACTCCACTCACTCCCTCTCGGAACTGCTCCACCAACCTACCCCTCTCCCTGTTGACGCCGGCGGACTCTGGGCGCACATATCCCACTCTATGCGAGCTGCTGCTGAAAC